TGTGTCACCTCCCCCCGCCCTCAAACCCACCCGTGTCACCACCCCGGCCCCGCCACGTGTCCCCAGCGCCCCCATCACCCCGTGTCACCCCTCCCTTTACTCCCCTCCCCCACATCCCCGAGATTCCCACCGCATTCCCAGCCCCCCCTGCCCCACGCTGGGAAGGGGACACGGAGCCCAAGGTCACCGGTGGGCTGGGAGCCAGCCTGGCAAGGACAGGACAATCCCTCCGGAGCCACCGGCTCCGGGCCCGCCCCGGGCTGGGGGGGACACGGGGACACAACCACAGCGACCCCCCCCCTCCCCCATTCCCACCGTGCCGCTCCAGAGGGAACCTATCCCTAAAACCCGCGTGTTCCCACCATAATCCACGTGGAACATCGCGGGGGGTGGGGAGACACCACAGCGAGATTTTGGGGTGGCTTTTGACTCGATCATCAATTTTTTTAAAAAATATAATTAATTAAAGGAAGAGAAGGAAAGAAAAGCAAAAGCTTCGTTCAACAGCCCCCACCCCCCCCCACACCTCGGGGCTCCAGGGGGGCCCCACAACCCCCTCGGGATTTTCCCTTTTCTCCCCTTTTTTTGCCTTAAATAACCCCCGGCTCAGCTCCTCACCCCTCCCCCAACCCCCCCCTCCCCTCCCCCCGCGGGGGATTTTAGGGGGGGGTTGTGGTTTTAACCCCATCGTGCAGGTGGGGAAACTGAGGCAGGACGGGGAAGGGGGGGGGGGGGTCGAGGGGTCCCTGGGCGTGCCCGGGGTGGGTACAGGGAGAGGTTTTTTTGGGGGGGGGCTGCACCCCCGGGGCCGGGCCCTGCCCCTACGTCACAGCCACGAGCGCTTTCGCTTTCCCCCGTGGCTGCCGGGGGCACGCCCAGGCTGCTCCCCCCAAAATATCAATCCCACTCTGACTCTCCCCCTGCCCTCCCCAGCCCCTCCCCTGGCACTGGGGCCACCCCAAAAACAGCTGGGGGAGAGATATCCCCCCCTGTGTGTCTGGGGGCGGGGGGGAAGACCCCAAATGACCCCCCAGTCCTGCCCCACTAAGGGAGCAGGTGTTGGGGTGCCTTCCTTTCTCCAGCCCTTGTTCCTCCCTTCACCCCCAAAAACGCTGCTGGGGGGCAGGGGTTGTGATCAACCCCCACCCTGGGGACCCCACGGGACCCCCCCACTGTGATCCTGAACCTCCCACGGGTGCAGTGAGTTCGTCCCGGTCTCTGCAGGACACCCCAGAGACACCTCAGGGACCCCAAAAACAGGTGGAGAAGCCAAAGCAGGTGCCCCTAAAAGTGGCACCGCGGTGTCAGGGACATCCTGGGACCCCCAAAATTGTCCCAGAAAGAGCCTGGCATCAGGGACCACACCACGGGCACCCCCAAATGGCCACCATGGGACCCCCAAAGTGCCACCCCAGGAGCCTGGCGTCAGGGATGGCACTGTGGCAGGTGCCCAGCGTCACCCCCTGAGCTCCAGCACCGCTCACAGCACAGAAACTTTCCAAAATCCACTTATTTTCCAATTTTGGGCTAATTCTGATTTCCCAGCAGGGCCCAGCTCAGCCTCTCCCCTCTCCTGCTCACCCCAAACAGTGAAGACCCACAAATATTTCCCCCCCAATAGAGGATTCCCAAGGCCATCCTGGCTCCCCTGGGGCAGGATTTAGGTCCTGGGATTCCACATCCATCCCATCCAGGGCTGCCTCCTGCCAAGATAACTCCAGTATCTCCTGCTTCCACTGGAGGCAGCCGATGGACAGTGTGGGAAAAGCTGCTGGTGCATCCCAGCATCCCCAAACCCCATCAGTGACATCATTCCCGGCTGGAATTCCAGGCACTTAGGGCACAACCAAGGAGAGAAAAAAACGCCTGGAAATGTAAAGTGCCATTTATTTATTATTTCCCCCCCCCACCCTCCCCCACCCCCACGATGAAAATATCGAGTTTAAAAAAAAAAATTAATTGCACCAACAAACCGCTCGATCCAAACTCTCCTCCTCCCTTTCCTCCTCTTCCTCCTCCAAAAACCCAGCACCAAAACCTATGGAAAATAGCCCAAATCTTTAGGAACTGTCCCCTTCCCCACTTCCCACAGAAAATAAGAGGCAAAAAAATCCATTCCACTTGAGCACCCTGGAGTGACTTGTCCGGGCATGAGCTGAGCCAGCAAGCACAGAACTCCCCAAATTTGGGGTGTCCTCCCCCCCAAAAAAACCCCTGGGGTCTCCCTCCCAAATCTGGGAGTATTCTCCCCCAAAAATTTGGGGGGGACACAGTTGCCCCCCAGGTTTGCCCTGAGCAGGGCAGGGCCTTTGTCCAGTGCTGGAAAATAGGGAAGGAAAAGGTACACGAAGGGTTTGGGGTTACCAAGCCCTGGCACTTCATTTTTGGGGGGGGGGTGGCACCCGAGCACAGGCAGAGGGGATTGGCACCTGCCAGCCTGACTGGGTGAAAAAACAGCCAAAAAAAGGGAAGGAAAACACCCACAAAAAATCCCACTGAGCTCCCCAAATCCTCAGGGGTCGCAGAGCCCTGGGCGGGGGGAGCAGGGGAGAGAGTCACCCCAAAATACACACGCGGGGAAATGAGGGGGGTGGGGGCTCAGCCGTGGGGTCCTGAGGGTCTGTAAGGTCTGTGCACGATGGGAGGGACCATCCAGCCCTTTGGAAAACCCTGTGGATTCGGGATAACGTAGGTCTGGCTGGGTGGGATCATCCCCAGGGGGCTCCAGGGGGGCTCCAACAGGGAATCCTGGAGCTCTGCCACATCCACAATGGATGAGGCCACCCGGGGGATGGGGGAAGAGGCAGCTGGAGCAGAGGAAAACCTGCAGCCTGGGGTGGTCTCCCCCTTCCCTGTGCCTTGGGAACGGCGGGAGAGGGACCCCAAATCGTGGTGAACAACCAGGCTCTGCTCCCCCCTCTCCGGGCTGGAAGGAGCCAGGCAAGGAAAAATCCACGCTCTCCCCTCATCTTGACACTGAGAAATAGGAGTCACAGCCCTGTGGGGATTCGCCCACCCCCAGCTCCGACCTGATTCCCTCCGACTGAGCTCGGCCCCGACGGATCCAGCCCCTCTTCCCTGAACATCCAGCGCGTGACGAGACCAACCAGGGGCTTGGAAACAACCGTTTCAAAAGAAAAAAAAAACCAGGAAAGGAGAAGGAAACCAAAAAAAAAAAAAAAAAAAAAAAAAAAAAAAAAAAAAAAAAAAAAAAAAAAAAAAAAAAAAAAAAAAAAAAAAAAAGCTGAAATCTTTGCTCTGAGGGGCAGGAGGAGCCCAGTGTGGGGTCTCCTCTATAAATCACCCCCCCCAGGTGACCCCCACACCCCTGCCTGCACCTTGTCCCCAGGCAGGGCAGTGACACCGTTTTGGGTAACCCCAAACAGGGTTTCTCCACTCCTGATCCTGCTGATTCTCCACCCCGGAGTGAAAAGCAGGGGGGAGGTGAAGCATCACCCCCACCCCCTGCCACCACCTCCCACAACACCCACATTCACAACCCCCAACACCACCGTTACCTTCTCGTTTTCAAACGAACACGATCCCCCCCCCCAAAAAAAAACCCAAAACCCAACAAATAAAGGAAAAAAAAAAAACCAACCAAACCAAAAAAATAAATCAACGCAAGCAGCACCACAATTCCCAAGTGTCAGGAGCTCCAGAGCCGGAGCAGAGGCCTGGAAAACAACCCCCCCACACCCCCTTATACAGACACATCAAAAGAAACCAACCCCGCTCAGCCGGGGCAGGGGGCGGTCGGACGATGGAGACGCTTCCGAGGGGGGGGGTCGGTGCTTTGGCGCTGGGAATCGGGGTGGGGGTGGGAGTGGGAGGGCTGGGAAAAGGAGGAAGGAGGGCAGTTCTGTGGCCGAAGGGAGGAGAGGAGACGGTGCCAGGAGGCAGCTGCAGTGCCAGCGGGGCTCACATGGCAGCGCGGGTGGGTGTGCTGGGCTGGTTCAGCCGCAGCGTTCGGCACAGCCAGCCCGCGAAATCCACCTCCTCCACCTCGGAGCGCTTGATGAAGGTGTGACTCTGGAAGAGAAAAAAAAAACAAAAAAACAAAAAAAACAGGGTTAGGAGAACCCTCCCCAGCTCCCAGAGCAGAGCTCTGTGCTGTGGGATACACCCTGGAGAAGGGGAGAAGGTGCTGGCGCTACAGCTGAGTCTGGGAAAGCATCCGCTCTTTGCAGTCCTGTGCCAAGGCCTCATCGGCCTCACAGGGAGGGATTTCTTCCCAATATCCCATCTAACCCTGCCCTCTGGCACTTTGAAGCCATTCCCTGTGTCCTGTCCCTCCATCCCTTGTCCCCAGTCCCTCTCCAGCTCTCCTGGAGCCCCTTTAGGGCTCTCAGGTTTCCTTGGATCTTTCCCTTCTCCAGGTGAACCCCCCCAGCTCTCCCAGGCTGGTTGCAGAGCAGAGGGACTCCAGCCCTTGGAGCATCTTTGTGGCCTCCTCTGGACTTATTCCAGCAGCTCCACATCCTTCTGATGTTGGTGCCCCAGGGCTGGAGGCAGCTCTGCAGGTGGGGTCTCACCCGAGCTGGGCAGAGCGGCAGAATCCCCTCCTTCACCTGCTGTTGGGATGAGCCCAGGACGTGGATGGATTCCTGGGATGTGAGCACAACATTTCCAGCTCGGATTCACCCCTCACTCCCATCCACCTGCCCAGGTGAGGAGCCAGGTTTGGCCCAGGCACCTCAGCAGACACCGGCCAGGCGGGTGGTTCCCTGATACCATCAGCGCCTTTGAACCAAAGGTGGGTGAGTCACTCCCTCTCCCTGACTCCATTTGGCTCCTCCAAAGCTCAGCCTGGGAGTTTCCAGCCT